AGACTGTTAACTAGACCAGAAAGTTAACTTTAACTTTTTACCCAGAGGAAAAGAATGCAATGGCCAGGATAAAAGTTTTCCAGAAGCAACTCTAAGTTTTTTCCTTTACTTCAGGTTGTTATTACTAGGGTGTGAGACACCCTAAGCACAGGGTATCCTCTTTTACCAAAGTATAGTACAGCAGCAAAATTTATTAGCAAAGAGTTTAGATCTGCTTTGCCTTATGTAAATATCAGGTGTTTCTTCAGTCTTCTTTGGCCCTGAAAAAGACACTTTTTCCCCTATACAGTGTCCTAGGCAGTGCAATTATGCTTTCTGGCCTCTTTATTCAAAGCTATAATTTACTTCTATTAGGTGTTTTGTCTGTGAGGTACATGAGTGTAGCTCCCTGCTCTAATTAAGACTGAACACCAACTGTGTTCACCAAATACATGACCACTTTCCTTCTAGCAGTTTGAATAAATGAGTATGATTAGTGGTCAGCAGGCTGACAGATGACCTTGCTAATACAGACAGGTTGTCTTCATTTTATCAAGATGTTTACTTTATCAGGAGTGTTTTCAGCAGCATGCACAGCTGGAAAGCTGTGTGCCACCACGTTTTCCTCAGCACATGGGCTTCTTTCATCTTTTAGATTGGTGTTTGGATCCCCTCTTGCTTAGAGGACACAAGTGCTTCAGACACAATCTTCTAAGGGGATCAGGAAGATAGTGGAGTGCACTAACAATCTTAATAGAGTTGACAGGTGGTTTTCACATTTTGAGGGTCTATCTGTGATGAGTTCATTGAAATCAAAGAAAAAGACACAAAAATATTATGAGATTTTTTAAAAAGCAATCCTACTTGGATTTAAACAAAGTATTTAAATCCAAATACTTAGTAATTTAATTTTTACTTTTTAAATTAAACAATACTTTTGGATTCAATGATCTTAGAGGTCTCTTCCAATCTAAATAATTCTATTATTCTATGAAATATGAAAACAGGTAGAATGCTGCTCTGTGTTCACGTGCTAGTTTTTCTTAGTAGAAAAACCTATACTGTGTCTTCCTTTGAATACACACTGCTTCTGTGGTTTACAGCTATTTTTGAAGTGTATTTCACTTGAAAAATTAGGTGCAATACCACATATTAGTATACTGGCTATGCCAACTACTTTGAGTTCAACAGAAAATGTAAGGGACAATCTAAAAGACTCCTAACACACCTGTTAAGAAACTGCAATAGTTTTTGTAGCATCTAGACAATCATTTTGTAGCATTCTAGACCTAAAGAAATTTGATACATCACTCAAACCCATTTCACACATCCATGAAATGGATTTGAGTGATGTATCAAATTTCCTTAGGTCTAGAATCAACCTAACTCCTTGTGTTCCTGATAAGAAAATTCCTGGAGTACAAGCATTTTGAATGATATCATGTTATATGGACTAAACGGTTCCTTGGAACATCTGTTCCAGGAGTTTCTCCAAGGGAGATTTTTTTAAAATAGAAAAGCATTGTGAAACAGTCTTCAGGATCCAACTACCTGAAGCAAGCTCGTATCAGAAGAAGGTGCTTTGGTTTGCCTTGAAAACTGAATGCACACTTCAGTTTTTAATCCAAAGGTTCTTGGCAGTTGCTATCACAGAGAAGTAGTACTCCAAAAGCAGCCTTTAGTCTCGCTCCTTCCCATTCGTATTTCAATTTACAGGTTAGGTTATCATAGGTAACACAGGTCATCTCTATCTTTCCTGTTTCCCTGGGACAGAAGGGAAATCAGAAAGATTCATCTTTCCTTTAGTGGCTGTGTTGAACATAAGGGTTTCTCAAGTCTCTTCACAGATAGATGGATAAATACTTGCTCTTCAATGAGATTCAGATTTAATGGAAATTTAGAAGATATTGCTAGCCATCGATGGGGTTTAAAACATGAATTTTGGTTCAAAGGATTGTGTACAGAAGTACATGCACAGAATTTAAAACTTATCAAAAAAAGTTTGGTTGTTTTTTTTCCTTGTAGTTTTAAATTGGTATTTTGAGATTTATCAGACTATTAGAATACATCTGTGTTTTCCAAGTCTTTTAGATCACCAATGGAAAGGCTACAAAGATGTGATTTTCAAAAAGGCTGTGATGGTTTCAGTGAACGCCCAAGTATTTCCAAAAGGAACTGTTTATCTATATTACCTGTATACTATCTATATCTGCTGAGAACCCCATCCAAAATTCCCATTCCTGTAAACAAAAAAGGAATGGGTAATGACTCACCAGTGACATGCCTCAGTTTCCCAGGATTTACCCTTTTCTATCAGAAAACTAAATTTGACCTAAGAAGCAGTAAAATACCTTACCCGTACCATCCTACCCTCTCCCTTCCCCCCTTCCCCATTTCTACTCCTATAGTCCTATCCTGTACTCACTGATGGAATTCTTCTGTCACCAATATTTATGATTTTAACTATTTTGTTCATCTAGACTACTTCTGGAAATTTTCTCAATTGCTATGATCTACAGCACTAGTGACAGAAACCTTTATGAGAACTGTGTAGGCATCTTGATGACCAGTGGATAATTCTGCATTTTGTTTCTAGGCACAGGAATACTATAAGACATTAAGACTTCCTGCTAAGGTGACTTACAAGGTGGTTTACTACAATATTATAGTAAGCCTTGTGTGAGCAGCAAGTAATTGAGACAACTAAATGCAAAGCTGACAGTTCTAATTTTCCATATAGTCAATAGGTAAAAGGCAAGAGTCATATTTAGACCATGTAGTTTAAGGATTCCTGATTTTGCATCTTATGTTTCTGGAAAATCAACAGTCCAGATTCTATCAATGCAGCTTATGCTACAAGCAGGATAAAGTGAAACATTGGAAACAATAGGAAAGAAACTAGTTAAAAAAATATGATTTATTGATTAGTCTCTAGACCTCAACAAAATCAAACTGTTATCACACTCTACTCTTTGGCATAGACATAAGGAACTCCATATTACCTTCCTAATTAATTGTTAGAGACTCTTCCTTGTGAATCATCTCTGCTCTAACTGGGACTGTTGTATACTGATTACTATGTTGATACTCAAAAACATCATGAAATATTTTTCAGATAAAATTCTATTATCACTTCTCTGATTTCACGAGGAATTTTTCTTAATGACTAATCATTTAGATAGAACATACATTTATTTATTAATGTACATTTGTTTTATTACTGGAATAGTGTAAGTTCCTAAGAAAAACTTGACCTGTGTAAGTTTAAGTAATATGCAGAGCAGCCAATAGAGGTACCTTTGTAAATTTTTTGCAGTTCTTAACCACAGCCTACTATATATGGAAGGAAAGCAGTCAAAAAACAATGTCAGCCTCTTCACATTGATTAGGACCACTAACTGCATGTGTAACTGTGTTGGAATAAGTAAACCACTGTGTTTCATTATGACAGAAAAATAAACTGTGTATCAAGCCTGCTGGCTTGCCAGAAGCAATTTTCTTGAGCTCTTGAGTTTTGCTTTAGTTTTTTTTTTGTTTTTTTTCCCCTTTCATCATTTTTGATAGTGTAGATTCAAAAAAGTTTTTAATGTCAGCTGAAATCACAGCAGCAGTTGCACCATAATCTAAGCACCAACAAACTTAGTCACTGCTATTTTTAAAGAAACTGCTGGACATCCTGCACTTGTTCATCAAGAGAGCAACAGCAGTTGCACATCAGCCTGAACCAACACAGCTTCTCTTCCAAGTTCTGAAACAGTGGAGTTCCCTGCAAAAGGAAATTACTTCCTTCTTGCATCAAACTCATGCAACTTTTAAGACTGACCATTTATCCTCTACCAATTTTGTGGTAAATTCAGGCAATTAAGGAAATGCTACAGATACAGTATCTGAGAAAACTCTGATAGCCACCCAGCTGGCCACCATCTCACCCAAAGGGAAAGAATACTTCCAAAGTTTTTCTTTAAGATTTATGTTCTGACCTTACAGAATGCTGAAACAAAAGTCATACAACTTTCATACCTGGTTCCTAAGAGGAATCCAACTGAGGAGTGCTGAAAGCTTTTCTTATATTTTTATTGGTTAGAAAGGTGAATCTACCCAACCAAAAACGTGTTCCCTGGAAATGGGAACAAAATACTTTTTAGATAGCTCATTAATTTTTGCATGATTCCTTCATTTCACCACAGTGCATTACGATGTCTGTCATCAGCATAAGGAGTAAATGGACAATGATTACATATTTTGAAAGTATTATAAAAATTCCAATATCCCAAAAAAAGAGAAAGTTGAATAGGCTAATCATATTGCTACTGCATTAATTTGGTTACTACCAGTAACCTGTATGTCTAAATGGCATTTATGCCATGGCATGATAACAAAAATATATAAACTTTAGAAAGACGTTATCTATGTAAACCTGTCACTCACTATATTTTTAATAACACAAAATTCAAGTCTAAAAGAACTAAAGCATATTATAATAGTTAGTTCGGAATAGTTTCTTGGGGTAGAGGGAAGTATAGGGCAAAATTTTCAAAGGAAAGAGGTCCAATTTTTCTCACTAAAATTATCTGAAAACTTGTGACAGAATTTATGTGGGCAATTGTTGATATTCTTTAAATAGATCTAGCAAATACCCTTGCAAATGATCAGTACAGGCACCCAGCTGTAGCTGATGCTTTGCTTGTACCTTCGTGAATATTCTCCTGGTAACTGCATGCATTAATCCGCTACTAGGATTACATTTTATGCAAGCATTTTTAGCACAAACACACCTCCACCCTCCTTGTTTGAAATGTGAGTGCTGGTGTATTAAAAATATTTGGAAGACAGACTTATTAAAATAAATGTTAAGAGAACACAGTGGGGTATATTTTCAGTGTGGAGCAGAGAGATTTAACTGCATGACTTCCATTAGCTTTAATGAGAACTGAACTGCTAAATCCTCACACACCACACTAGAAGATTAACCCAGAAAACACACATTGTTTACTTTTTACTAATACTCTGATTATTACCACGTTCTTCCTCCTCCTCCTCTTCTTCCTCCTCTTCTTCTTCCTCCTCCTCTTCATCCTCCACATCTTCACCTTCCTCTTCATCCTCCTCTTCTTCCTCCTCAATCTCCTCTTCTTCTTCTCGATCTATCTCCTCATCATCCTCCTCCTCGTCACCTTGCTCCTCATTATCATCGGAATATTCCTCCTCTTCTTCATCCTCTTCCTCTTCTTCCTCTTCCTTTTCATCCATTTCCTCTGTTCCATCAGTTTCATAGCACTCATCTACTGAAGAGTTGTCTGCTTTAACCACAAAGGGTTTTCTTTTGGGAGCTGGTTCTTGGGGTTGCTTATCTTGTGTTTTTCTTTTTTTTGCCAATGGACAGCCATAAACACTGTTCAAAAATAAAAGATGCAAATTATTACACTATCCTCCAGATTTTATTTAGTCATATATTCTAATTCTATATCATGATTAACTTCTGTTCACAAAAGGCATGTTTTCAAAGCAAAGTTATGTTTAGGCAATGATGACCAAGGGGGAGGACACAAAACCTGTGAAAACGCAAGTGACTATTTGTCTGAAAATGTCACACATATACAGCAGCGTAACAGTTTCAGAAGTGGCACAAACTCCTTCTCATTCATTTTTATCTCCTACATGTTACACTCCTTTTTAAGGCAGATGAATATAGTTAAAAAAACAACCATCTTTTCCTACCTATAGCTAGCAGTACAACATTCAGGAATAAAGCAATGCTTCATAATTTTGTAGTGTTCAGCATTTTGATTGCGTGCAATTATGTTTCAATTATGTTTAAATTAAAAAAAAATAATATTTTGAATGTTGTTGGTTGTTATTATTATAAATAATAAAATATTAATACAATAATAATAATAATGAATCACTCTTAAATTCCCTACTGTTTCTCTCTATCATATGCTACAAGGCTGGAAAAATGAGAAAGCAAGCTCCCCAACACAACCAACCCCAATAATTAACATGGCCAGTGTTACAAGTGTCCTCATATTAAAAAAAATCAAACAATAAACAAAATCTTTTGTCAGTGATGGACTTTTCAAAATTGACTACCACTTCCTTATCAATCATTTTAATGCATTGTAACAGAAACAGTATTTCAGAGTCCTGATCCTCTACCAGAGTAGCCAACTGTTTCTCAAAGGTTACAGAATCTGTGTTTGTGGAACATGATCTCCTTTGTGTAGCCTCTATAATCTTCTGTGCAGTGACTGCATACACTCATTACTTTTTGTTCAAAGAACTCCCTTTTTGAACTTTTTTATTGTGTGATTATAATATTACTCAAGCTATATCAGTTTTTAGTCTTCTTCCTGTGATTAACTAGTTTTGGGATATTTCAACTGTTCTTTATAACCTTTTCTGCATACCTACTAATAACTTACTCTTTTTATGTTATATTCTTTCTCCCTTTACCTGAATACACCAAGGAACTCTTATTTTCTTCCACTCTAATAATGCTTCATATTCTGTTGACAGACCACTGAAAAGTCTGGTGCTTTACCACATTTAGTACTATACTATGTGGTATCCTCATAGTCTTGATCTCAGTCTAATTTAATTGCATCCCAGCAGCTATGCATCCCCATTACTTAAACTGCTACTTAGGTAAAAACAATTCTATGTAAGCACCCTATCATTTTATTGAAGTGCCTAACTTGGGTATTGTCTTACCTAAATTTCAAATCACTTGTTCACAGTCTGCCTGGCACACACATATCTAAGGAACATAAAAAGTCACAAAAGATGTTATTCATAAAAAATCTGCTACAGGAGACCTTCTCTGTGCAACACAGGCACCTTTCACTCTGTGGAGACAATAGGTGTCTTTGAAGTCTAGTCCAGCATGCCTAAAAAAACCCTGCCTCCATTAACACTATGGAGAATTTTAAGTACATCCATCTAGCCAGATTCCAATGCACCTCACTTGGGAGTAGGGTAGTAATCCTAGCGGAATATGTATTCCAGACACCTGTGTCAAAGTTGAGACCTACTGGTGCAGGCTAGAGGGGGAATAGGTCCACAGCCTCCAGATTCCAGAGCCATGCTCCATCCAGAAGGCATATTAGATGGAAAAGCATCCTCTTATGGAAGATGAGCCCCAGTGCTCCTGGCAGCAAGAAACTCATGCAACAGGCAAGCAAAAGCCCAAATCTTCACTAATTTTAAGAGCCCTAAACCTGAAAAAATAGGGAGCCCTAAGCTGCTGGTGTTTTCTCTTTGGCCTATAATTGTTTCTATCTAAAGACACTTCAAGTAAAACCTATAAATATAGAAGAAATCCTTGTTCTAGTTGAACAACAGTTCAATGCCAAATGTCCGTCCTGCCTCTTGTCCTGAGTCCTCCTTTTGGTCAGGACCCAGTTGCCTAGAATCAAGGGGAAATGTAGGACATATCTCCATGGAAATCATCCCACATCATCACAGTCAAGGCACAAACAGGAATTCAATCTCCACTGGTCTGGACACTGAATAAAACCTGGGGTGAAAGGGAAGCACTGTTTCTTGTAGTTCTGACCACTGGAGGTTTATTTTGGTGCTTTCCCTGTTGTTTTTTTTGTTTTTGGTTTTTTTTTCCTTTTTTTTCTGGGGTTTCAGCAGCTGCCTATTTAAACTCTCTTCATGGAGCTCTGAGAGAAGGCAGATGAATTCTTCCTCACAACTAGAATTTCAGAGTGTGTGTTGTGCTCAGGAAAATGACTGGATAATTAGGGAGTAACCTGTTTCATTTAGGTGTCTAACAGAGGCTGCATCCTGGAAAACAAGAGTTGATCATGTCCTCAGGCTCAGGCAGGTTTTAGAAACTTGCGTATCAGTTCAATAGGATTTAAGCAGACCGGTTAGCATTTACTGAATGGATGTGTCTTGCTTTCTTGGTTTCTGTTCCTTCTCTTTTGGATGCATACTACCATCACCACAGCTTCTTCAATGCCGTTATTTGTTATTTGTTAAATAGTATGTTCTCAAAATCCTGGTCTTTATTTCCAAAGATGTGAGTAGGCTCACCCCCAGAAATCCCCAGGATTTTCCCTTCTCTTATTATAACCTTCTTAGAACTTTGTAAGTGGTACTGATGACACTTCAGGCAGCTCTGAACTAAAAGGGCACCCATAGATGTGTAAGTGTGAATGTTTTTCCCCACTGGCATTCATACAAACTAGAACTTTTCACAGAATCATGGAATGGCTTGGCTTGGATGGGACTTTAAAGATCATCTACTTCCAACTCCCCTGCCATGAGCAGGGACACATTTCACTAGTTCAGGTTGCTCAAAGTCCCATCCAACCATGGCCATTTTGTCACACTAAAGCCAGAACATTAATCCCATCCTGCTCCAATCTTTTCTCATTTGAGAACACTAAATACTTGTAAAAGTTTTCATGTAGTAATGCCCCAAAACAATCTCTTTTAGAATTCACGTAAGTGTAGGAAGTGAGGCAGAGGACAGGGGTATAACAAATACATCTATTTTGGTTTGCACTGTTTAATTTTTTATTTGACAACTAAGATTTGCATGAATTTTTAGACACAAATTATTGGTCAAAGGTAGAAAGTTGATGTTGCTGATGTTATTTGTCATCTTCAAGGTTTTGTCACATCTTTATGGTCATCTGTACAGTATTTTATAAAGTTTGTGAGAATTTATGGCGTTACTTGGGATTCAGGGCCCCCTGGATAGTGCGTAACTGGCAATGGAAATCAATTCAGGTTAGTTGTCTGAATACTTTGATGCTTTTATAAATCTTATTAAATAACTATTTGGAACTCAGCTATTCAAATAAAGTTGTGAACTTTGACTTTAGTTTATATTTTTATTAATCTATTGTCAGTGTCTTTGCTAACAGAATTAAAACTGAGGATACATCAGCAACTACAAGAAACAAGTGTTTCTATATTTTAATGGCTGGATCCAACCTTAAATATGTCATTTTCCAAGAAAAAGGTTTATGCTAGTTCAAAGAATCACAGAATGGTTTAGATTGGAAGGGACCTTGAAAATCATCTATTCCAACCCATCTGCCATGGACAGGGACACCTTCCACTAGACCAGACGGCTCAACACCTTGTCCAAGGTAGCCTTCAACACTTTCAGGGAGGGGGGATCCACAACCTTACCACTCTCACAGCAGAGAATTTCTTCCTCATATTCACCCTAAATTTCTTATCTTCCAATTTCTATTCATTACTCCTTGTCCTATCACTAGTTAACTTCAACTCAGCTTTTGTAAATTCTCCTAATTAATTTGTACCAGATATTCTACCAGATATCCCTCATGTACTGCAGCCTTCATAGACTGAAAGAGTTAAAAAAAACATCACCATGTGTTTCAGAAACCTGGGAAACAGGCCACCAGACCTGAAGCCTACTGTTAAGCTGCCCTATTTTCTCCTTTTTCTTTCTTAACCTGTTCCACTCTCATCCTTTGTTTCATTAATTTTTCAGATTCTGCCTCCAGGAAACTTCCCTCTGTTTCTGGCGAGCTCCCTGTGGTCTCCCGGCGAGCACACCAAGGGAATGCTGTGCTGTGCTGGCTTCCCAGCAGCCTCTGCCACTGACTTCCCCACATACAGAGATGACAGTCTCTCCCACTAACCTCTTGCTCCTCATATATTTGTGAAATCTGTTATTGTTTGTCCTTACAGCTTCTGCAATTTTCTCTAAATTTTCAATTTTGGCTTCTGTGATCATCCTCTTATTTGGTTATTTTTAGACTTGTTTATCCCTGCTCAGAGCATTGACCCCATTGATTTATGTGTTGTGTCTGCCTTTATCCATTCTTTCATTGCTCCCTGTATTTTCCTGGTCAGCTGTGTTTGCTTTATTTTCTCCTCACGCTTCAGCTCTCTTGGCTTGCAGCAGGGTGTATATCTGAGCTTCCTGAGACACACTTTTGAATATTCTACACTGCTTTACTGTGTGTCTCAGTCATTTCTGGTTTTTGGAATCTGTCATGAATAATTCTTGTGGAAAGAATGTTGCTGAATTTCATAGTAATAAACTCCGAGAGGACATATAGACATTAATAATTGAAGAAATGGAGGAAATAATATATCACTTTATACTTCTTAGTTAGAAGATGACTTATGGTATTTTTTTAACATTCATGCAATTTTTCTTCATTAAAAACTTGATGATGCTACTCACTTATACATTCAGTAAGAGCATAGTTCAGGAAACAAATATTTGTTTTCTAGACTTGAACATGCTGATTTTTAATATATTTTATTACTGAAATAATTTTCAGTATAATTAGTATGGTTATTATTTCTAATCTATAGCCATTAACATATGTATTTAAATATACATAGTATAGGACCAAATAAATACAAGGGATTTTATAAATCAGATTACTG